TATTACAAATATTTGAACAATGCAGCTAGAAATGTTTCTTGCCTTTTTCAAAAATTCGCATTGAATCACGAAACACGATACTCTTACTAGTAAGGATGCCCATTTTCAGAATGAAAAATTTGTGGATTTCAAAATTTCACGATATTTTTCGAAAATTGGCAGATTTACGTGAACTTACAGAATTGATGAAGAGATCGATTCTGGATGATTTTTCGCTCTCACAAAATTCCCAGAAGCGATCTCGAGATCGCTTCTGTAGGTTCACGGGAAATATTAATATATTTATTTTTTCAGGCTTCTTTTTTCAAAAGTCCCAGAAGCGATCTCGGAATCGCTTCTGTAGGTTCACGGAAATATATCTCACGTTATTATTTTGTTGTTGTTTTTTTTTACTTTTTTTTCAATAAATTTTATCTGTTTTGTTGACCTGAATTTCTGATGAAAAAACTTAAAAAATACCAATTTGAATTGTTTCATGATGAAAATGGTGAAAAAATGTTTGTGAAGTATAATTCTCACACATAAATCCCGAAGAAACTATGTTTCTTATATTTCTGTGAACCAACAGGAAAGTTTGTAGGCTGGCCTCTATTCGAACGAATGTTAAAAATTATGAAAATGTCATCTTCTTATATCAAAAATATGTCAACTGATAAAATATTTTTAATGTTATAATAAACAATTTACCAGTTGACAACTTTTTCATATCTTTGACAGAAACTGAGATAAATTAGCTCAAAGTTTTGAGGTCGTTTTATTACCAAAAATTAACTGTTACAAAACTAAACTTCTGACCTAGCTAAGCATGCTCTGACGTTTTCAGACAATTCGAAAAATTATGAGCTACTTCTACACTAACTAATCAGAAAGTTAACCATCAAAACTCTTAAAATTTTCAGCAATGGCGCCGGTCGAAGTGGTGCGTTTCTTGCCCTTGACGCCAATCTCGAGTTAATGAAGAAAACCGGACAACTGGATTTTTTCGAGTACGCCAAAACGTTGGTCAACTCACGGCCACATCTGATTGACAGCGTCGAACAGTACATGTTCATCTATGAAGTATTGTCAGAGGTTTGTGAAAGAAACCGAACCAAAGGTGTAAGGGGAAAATCAGGAGAAGAGGATAAGGAGGAAACGGATTAGAAAGTTATGATGAAGTCTGTTATATGATGAGGGAAACAAGACCTTGAGAAATACGGCAAATGCCATGGGATTATGGATTTGAGAAAGTGAAGAAAAAAGCGATAGTTAAATTTAATAGTCATATACAATATGGCGCCGGTGTGGCGCAATAGGATCAGCGGACATCCGGATACTAGGAAATTGGTTAATTTCAGGCGGTGATGTGCAACGTGCAACCGATTGAGATGCATCTTTTGAAAGAGAGATCCAGTATGTACAAAGCGAAGAAGAATCGAGAGCTTTTGGAAAGTCAGGAGACACATGAAAATAAGGTTAGTTCTTCGGGGGAAAATGAAGGAAAATGAGGGAGAGAGAGAGAGAGAATGAAAACAACTATCTCGGGGAATCGAGATAGGGATCCATCCTAGACGATTTGCGCGCCTTTTTTAGTTGAGCGAAAGTGAGGATACAATCATGATGTGATGTATGGCATATGGAAGAAGGTTTTTAGGGATTTTAGGTTGTAAAAAGTTTGAAAAGTTTGAAAAGTTTGAAAGTTTTGAGACTCAAAATGTTTAATTTTTGTGACTCTGAACCTCAGAATTTCGAAAATTCGGAATACCAGGAATTCAGAGTTTCGGAACCAGAGATCCAAAAGATCTGAATTCCAGAAGTCCGAAAATTCAGAATCCAAGAAATTTAGAAATTCGGAATTCCAAAAGTTCTCAGAATCTTAGAATCTCAGAATTTGAGAATCTCAGAATCTCAGAATCGCAGAATCTCACGAATTTCACAATCTCAGAATCTCAGAATCTCATGAATCTCAGACTCTCAGAATCTCAGAATCTCATAAATCGCAGACTCTCAGAATCTTAGAATCTCAGAATCTCAGAATTTCAGAATCTCAGAATCTCAGAATCTCAAAATCTCAGAATTTCCGATTCCCCCAGAGTTTGAAAATTTGAGAGTTTCAGAATGTTAGGGATTCAAAATTTCAGAACTTCAAAACCTTATTGTTAAAATATTAGAGTATCAAAATCTCAGAATCTCAAAATCTCTGAATCATTTGAATCTTCAAATCAAAAAAACACAATCTGAATTTCACTTTCTGTACGACACGGTCATTAGAAAGGAAAAACAAAAAGTTTATGATGTACTGACACATCGGCGCAGGCTTCCATAAAATCTTTTTATCACCTATTCTCTTTTAGCTTCTGATGCATCTGACGCCAACACTCAGAATCGGTGACTGCGCCGGAGGTCATCGTCTCGAGAATCGAGGAAAGAATCGAGATGTGATGGTTGTACCGCGTAAGAATTTTTTGACTTCTTTTTTTAGAAAATATGGGAAGGGACTTCTGAATTGAAGCAAAAAAAATTTCAGCGGACCACGCAAGGCCATACCTTCAAACATTGCATGGAGAAAGCAAAGATTATACATATATCAATGCAGTGGAGGTGAGGACGAAAAAGTGATAAAATGATAACATGATAAACTGGTATACATTCATAGTTTAATAATGTGTGTTTCAGGTCGATGGTTTTACTAGAAAAGCCGAATTCATTGTGACCGAATGGCCGAAGCAGAGCACGGTTGACTCGTTTTGGACACTGATTTATGATCATGCATGTCATACGGTGGTTAATTTGAGTAATCAAGGATCGACGAGAGTGCGTTTTATGGTATTTTTGAAAAATTGGTTTGAAAAAACGGGGAATTTGAAAAGGCTCATTTACTGTAAACACCATAATAGAATGCCGACTTTGAGCTTATATATCTCATTTTCTGTAAAAGATATCAAAAAGAGGTCAACTAATAAAATATTACGGATATTATGATAAATAATTCATCAGTTGACATATTTTTGATATCTTTCACAGGAGCCGAGATAAATTTGCTCAAAGTTGAAAACCCTTTTCAAGAATAAGTTCCGGTAGTCCCTAAATCGGCCGGCATAATTCAATTTTGAGCTATTTTTTCTTGGTTTCTGTCAAAGATATCAAAAAGTGATAAACTCAAAAAATTTTTTCATGATATGATAAACATTTTATCAGTTGACCAATTTTTTATATCTCTCACAGGAAATGAGATATATGCGATCAAAGTTGATGGTATATTTCATCACATTTGAAAATCTTGTGAATCCTGAAAAATTCTAAAATTCTGAAATTTGCAGCACTACCCCTCGTTCATCCACAACAAGGGCAAACAAAATTACGGTCCTTTCATTGTGGAAGTGATGAACTATCATCAGTATCCAGCAATGACGAGCCATATGGTCAAGGTTATGAAACGGGTGAGCAATCTATATTTCTCAAGTTTTTTGAATCAAACTTCTACCACATCTCTTTTTCTTTCATTTATTTTTCTTTCTTTTTTTCATCATTGTTCTTTTTCTCAGTTGAGTGATTTCATATAATTTTCACATTTTTACTTTTCTGATTTCAAAAACAACAGATCGATCCACCGAACGCAAAACCCGCCGCTAAGATTCCAACTCTAGAAGGTGTCCCCGGGTATCAATCTCGTCCGGATATCATTCCCGGACAATCGTTCCGTTTTAAACCAATGTATCGTGGCCGCTTCCGCGAGCCTCACGATTCAACGTCTTCTGACGAAGAAGACGATGACGTCATCTCAACGAATCTTCTATTACCTCCACGTCCGGCTAGAAAGACGTCGAGCAGTCAGTTTTTGAATTTGCCGCCAGCGTCGCCACGTGGCAATGGAGCACTGAAACGACGAAGTCGATCAGCGGAGGACCCATATCGAGAGGTGTCTAGAATGAGCGAGAGCGTGTTCCTTTATTCTTCCCCGGATATTTACTTTTTTTAGATTTTCCCTTTTTAAAAACCGAGAAACCCTTTGTCGATTCCGGTCATTTATTTCCCACCCAAATACCGCCCGTTTCCCGAATTCCATTATATTTCCTATCCTCATGATCTCTAAAATTTGATTTTTAAATTACTCTTTTTTTGGGATTTACACTAAAAATTTGTTGATTTTCATTTTTTGTGCGTGTGGTGTCGTTTCACCCATTCATCTCATCTAGAATCACTGAAAATTCAAAAAAATTCAGAATTCAAAAACTGAAAATTGAACTTGTGATTAGACTAGCCACCGAATCCCATGATTTCTAGAGCTTATAACTTCTTCAACGTTTGAGATACGAAAAAATTGTCAACTATAAAAATGTGTAAAAATTCAAGAGCTTTATTTTATTAATAGACAAAATTTTTGTATCTTAACACTAGAATAAGAAAAATGCACTTGAACTCAGATACCAATTAGAAGTTACGCCCCCCCCCCCCCAAACCGCCAACGTCCTTCAAGTCCTTATATCTCGCTCTTTGTGAGAGATTTCATAAAATTGTAAACTAACAAAATTTTCATCATAATATCAGCAAAACTTTAACAGTTGACCAGTTTTTGATATCTCGCACAGGAACTGAGATATATAAGTTCAGGTCTATGAGTGGGGTCAGTCGGAGCATCTCGCTTTCAGAAGGGCGCCCTAACTTTAAAGGCGTATACATATTGGAATTTTTAAAAAATGTGTGAAAGTTTATTGGCTTTCAGTCTCCAAGAATTTAAACTGTTTCTGAGATTTGGACCCTTAAAGTCAAGCAGTTGAAAGACGCAGAAAAACGAGACACTCTCGTTTCTCTGCGCTCTCGCTCTCTTCCCTTGTGCACACCGTGCGTTACACTCTGACCGTAAACTTTAAACCAATTTTTCTCGGTTTCTGTAAAAGATATCAAAAAGTGGTTTACTGATAAAATTTTGTATCATAATTTGAGCGACATTTTATTAGTTTATTACTTTTTGATATCTCTCATAGGAACCGAGATAAATTGGTTCAAACTTGACTGTTTGGGGCATTCTATTAGGTGTGTTGACGGTAATTGAGCCTTCCGAAAAAGGTGCAACTTTATCAGAAATTCTACAGTATGCATTTTTTATCACATGTTCAATTTTCAGTTTTTTGGATTTGGTTTTTACCCAAATTCTAGGCAACCATCTAGAAATCTAGGTCATCATTATCACACATCTCTAATTCTCATTCTAACTTTTTTCACACACATAATCTCTTTGCAGCCCCACCAGGTTCCGCCAATGAAGGTCGACCCTGAGGGTAAGGGGGTGTCAAAACTAGTGAGTTGATATCTAAAAAATAGTGCCAAAAAACGTTACATGATGGTCCAATTCATTTATTTTGCCAAGTGTCGTCATGTAGTGCAGTGTCAGAATTCGCCTTTTTTGAACCTGGTGGGGAACTGTGTCCACTTTTTTATAAGCGCTCAACATTTTTCTTTCTGTAATTTTTTCATTTCAGTCCTTTTTGTCTGTCCGTTATGTCCGTTATGTCCAGATGTCGTTTTCAGAAAGGAGCCGCCGATATCAAACGCCTTCTGAATATACGCAGAGAGAAGGCAGATCTTCAAAAAGAGACAACTAAACAAATTCAGAAGCTGGTCCGCTTTGTTTTATGTTCTTTTTTCATGTCATGCTCTAACAAAACGCTTCTCACCCTAACCCAATTTTCGGTAGAGCGCATTTGCCAAAATAAGTATGTCTCTCGTTGTCTAACTCTCTCTCGCCAACTCTGCTAATTTTGTTTTTCTTTTTTTTCCATTAATTGGGACGTTTTTGGAAGTTCTCAAGACTTCTGAAGGCGTTCCAATGGTTTGAAACTATCCAAAAATTGCCCCTCCCCAAGCCACCTCACACTGGTTTTTCTAGAAGTCACACTACCGGCTCCTCAACTCAACACTAACCAGACGAGTGAAGGCTTTTCCCACACCCACTTGCTGCGAAGTTTTAAAGTTTTGAAGTTAATTTTGAATGTTTTCAGACATTCATGATCAGCGACATCATGGCCACGGGTGCACAGAATCAGCAAATTGACGCAGAAGTCCGAATTTGTTGTGTTATTCAGGTAACTGGATGTGTAATGATGTTTATCTCGGTTACAGTAGAAGCTATCAGAAAAGTGTCAACTGATAAAATATTGGTGATATTATCTTTACTATTAACAATCACCAAATTCTGTGTGTGAGTGTGTCCGTTTGTTCCCGTATCACCTTCCCTAACGAAGTCCAGAATGAACCAAATTTTCCCAAATTTCACAGATAACCCGAAATAGCAGCTAGACGATACCCGAATATTTATTCTTTCGAAATTTTTGTCTGACGTCTTCTAGAGACGTTCTTCAATTTCTACAGTGCAAATTTTTAGAAAAATATTGAAGAAATATTCACGTCATTTCCGTCTAACCGCCCAATTTTTTTTTCTTATCCACGCTATATTTGAGAGAAAGGATTTTTGTGGAAATATTCTTTTAGTGTGGATTTTAAAGATTTGAAAGGAAGAAAAAATTCTGAAACAGTGTAGAAGAAAGAAATTAAAAGGAAAAAAAGAAAGAAACAGAATGCGAGGGAAAATGACAGCGCCCTTTGTGATCAATCGATTTTTCAGAATTCAGAATAATTTTTAAAATTTCCGAACTTAATTTCACATCTTTCAAATTGTGGAATATATAAATTTCTGAGATCTTATTTACCGAATAAGCCAAAAAATTTCAAAGTTTCAGATTTTCCAACATTTCAGGTTTTCAATTTTCGGAATGTCTAAATTTTCGAAATTTAGAGTTTTCGAATTCTGAAATATACATTTCCGATTTTCCGAAGTTCCAAAAACTTTTCGACGAGACTGTGTTTCGAATAGTTGAATTTCTGAATTTCTAATTTTTCAGGTTCTCAAATTCTCGATTCTAAACTTTTTCGAAATTCTATAAATTTTGCGTTTCAGGCCAGCCCGGCATTTAGTAAGTAAGCAAAAATCTGAATTTTCCGATTCCTTAAAATTTGATATACCAAAATTTGGGTATTTGACACATACAGATTGAAACACTTTTCTAGATTTCAAAATTAATGTTTTCCATCTGATTTTTAAAAATTTACTAATCTCTGAACTTGCGAGTGTCTTACTTTTTCAATTTCCGGATTTTCTTACTTCCGACTTTCCGAATTCTAAAAATTCTAAATAACCAAAATATCGAAAAATTTCCTAACAGACCATGAAAAAATAAAATAGTCCTGGAAAAATGGCAAAACCTGTCTATAAGACAACGGGTACTGTAAGCGGGAGCTAGGAGGCCTAGCCCGGAGGGGCGCAAACCGACTGTTTTTCAAAATTCGAAAATTTCGAAATTCAGAATTTTTGGAGAACAGAAAGTTTAGTGAACCTGACATTTAGTTATCCAAAATTTGAAACTTCAGGAAGCCGGGAATTCACATACTCCGGATTTCAGAACATAAAAAATCTTTTTTCAATAGTTTGGAAATTTTGAAAATTAGGAAATCAAATATTCCTCGAAGAAAATTGATAGTATGCAAAACTTTCACAAATTTTGGTGAATTCGGAAACTCGAAAATTTTTAAATTAGAAATAAAATTGTAAGATACAGAAAGTGGAAGCCAGGAGGTTGAGCCCCCGACAGGGGGCGTAAACCGACTGGTGATAAACAATTTATCAATTGACAACTTTTTGATAGCTGTGACAGGAAGCGAGATTTATTACGTCAAAGTCAGTGGGCGGCACCCACCTCGACTTTAAAGGCGCCTCCAACTTTGAGCTCTTATATCTTATAACCTGTAAAAGATATCAAAAAGTAATAAACAAAAAAATATGTATCGTAATATGAACAGTATTTTGTTAGTTGACCACTTTTTGTTATCTCTTACAGCAATCAAGATAAATTGTGTTAAAGTAGTGGATTCCTGTCAGTACATCTAAATGGCGCCCTTACTTTGGAGGCGCATACGGTATTTGCCCACTCTATACTTGTGTTTAAACTCGTATATCTAGGTTCCTATGAGAGATATCAAAAATCTGTCAACTGATAAAATGTTTGTCATAATATCACCAACAGTTTCGTAATTTACAGATTTTTGATATCTCTTACAGAAATTGAGATAATTTGGGTCAAATTTATGAGTGGGCGCCGGTTATGGCTTTTCGTCCTCAAAAGGGCGTCCTAACTAAAAAAGAAAGAGATCATTATTTTTCGAAATAATTGTATAAAAACGTATTTTTTCAAATTCCAGGTCCGAATGTGGCCTATTGAAAACAAGGTGCCCCTCTCCACAACCGGCCTAATTGACGTCATCAAAATGGCCAGAAGCTGGAGAAAAAGAGCACCGGATCGTCCGGAAACCAAGCCAACCATTGTCATGTCACAGTATGTTTATTTAGCAAGATGGAAAATGCGCCCCATTGACAACTATTTCAGCAACGGAGTGTCTCGAGTCGGGGTGTACATTGGAGCGAACATCTGCATAGACCAGATGGATATTGATCATGAAGTCGATGTATTCCATGCTGTCAAAATGATGAGGATCAATCGGCCTCAATTGATTGATATGAAGGTATATAAGCTGCTCAATGCAAATTCGTTCCAACGTACTTTATTTTCAGGATGAGTACAAATATCTTTACGATGTAATGCTGCACTGGTACATGACTAATCCAGACTATCGGATCTATGATAAAGAAGATAGTGAAGATACAGATAGTCAGAAGACGTCACGTCCACCGTCGAATCGACACTCCATCAAGGAGAAGAGCTCGTTTAGGGTGAGAAATTTGATTGGAATTCTGAAATCCCGGAATTCTAGAATCCCAGTATCGTGGGATCCTGGAGTTCCAGAATCTTGGATCCCTGAAATCCTGGAATCTTGGGATCCTGGAATCCTGGAATCCTGGAATCCTGGAATCCTGGAATCTTGGAATCCTGGAATCCTGGAATACTGGAATCCTGGAATCCTGGAATCCTGGAATCCTGGAATCCTGAAATCCTGGAATCCTGGAATCCTGGAATCCTGGAATCCTGGAATCCTGAATCTTCAAAATTTTAAAAGTTTCAGAGCAAATTCTCCTTCCGCCGCCGAAACACCACTCGTCAAAACGAGAACAACGCTGTGGAGTATCATGTCAATAACAAATAATTCTTTTTTTTTCCATTCTAGAATATTCTTTCTGAAATTTCTTCTTTTTTTACGGGTTCCTCCATTTCACTATTTTCTGAAGAATCAGTTTCAGGCCTTTTAGATTTTAAAATCCTTATTTCTAGTCCATTTTGTTCATTTTCTCCAAAAAACATATCAGAAATTGGTTTTTCCTCCAAAACTGTAAAATTCATATAAATATTTGGTGTCTCTTTGTTCTTCCTTTTTCATGATCGTCCACTTTGTTTTGAATTTGTGACTCTGAAAATCTGTAATAATAATGTTCGTTTCTTTCTTTCTTTCTCTCTCTCTCTTCTTTTCTTTCAATGCAGCTTCAATCTAATTCTGTGATTTGACAACTTTTTTCTATGTGGCATAATAAATATTTTTGTTTTGAATCAAGTTTCCTGAATTGGGTATTAAAAATGGGCCCTTAAAAATAAGCCATTTTCAGATTTCAAAATTCTGGGATTTTCAAGTAACCGAAATGTTCAAATTCTTACAGTTGAATTGTTGGACTCTGAGATTTCAAGATCCAAGATTCTGGTTGTTCATTTTTCTTGAATTCTGAGATTCCAGAGTTTGTGAGGCTGCTATTAAAGTTTTCAGATATTCTGACTGGTAAACTTCTGAAATCCTGAAATTCAAATTTTCGAAATTCTTGAACCTGATATAATTTTTGAAACAAAACATGATTAGGGTACTGTACTTTTTTCGGCCCTCTTCGTCTCTCTTTTCCACGTCACCAGGTCTACCGGACCTCCTTCACCTCCAGATGAACCTATATTCTTGTACGTCTTCTATGCCTTCACCTGTCAGCGTCTCCGTAGCGGAGAGGATAACGTGTGCGGTTGTGGGACCACGGGGGGAAGGACGAGTTCGATTCCCCATAATGATTCCCCATAATGGGAAGGACGAGTTCGATTCCCCCGGTGGTCTTCGATTGATGACGTGAGGAGGTCCGACGTCTCCACCGCACATCGTTAAGGCACGGAGGACGTCGCTGGAGGACCAGCAACGACAAGCAAAGTTCGAGCGAAGGAATCTGAAACATTGGCTTCAATTTTTTTGAATTACCGAGATTTGATTTGTGATTCAGTAATTAAAAATGTCAAATCAGAAGTACAAAAAAAGCCTTATTTGTACCGAATCGAGAGTTCCAAAGATTTTGATATTGAAGGGTTTTCCTGCCCCCATATCATCAATAGGGTACGGTACTTGGTTTTCAGCCACCCTCCCGCACGTCATCCGGCCAACCGGACCTCCTTCACCTCCAGATGAACCTATATTCTTATAAGTCTTCTACGTCTTCACCTGTCAGCGTCCCCGTAGCCGAGAGGATAACGTGTGCGGTTGTGGGACCACGGGGGGAAGGACGAGTTCGATTCCCCATAATGATTCCCCATAATGGAAAGGACGAGTTCGATTCCCCCGGCGGTTTCCGATTGATGACGTGAGAGGACCCACGTCTCCACCGCACATCGTTCAGGCGCGGAGGACGTCGGTGGAGAACCAGCAACGAAAAGCAAGGAGCGAGCGAAGGAGGTTGGGAAACGACGAAGGATAGAAGGTATAATGATAATTGTAATGTTCGGAAAATTAAATGAATAAAGATTTTTTTTTGAAATTTCTGCTCATTCTGGCAATCATGTTCACACAAAGGTACAGCTTCAAATAATTTATTTCAAACAATAAAAATCACAGAAACTCTTTCACATTCCCATCAAAAAACGGTCTGGCTTTCGCCATAAAATTATCTCGCGATAAATAACATCCACACATTTTTCGGTATCCTTGAAATGCTGTCCTAGAGTGTAAAACCCGAAAATTGTCGATAAAAATCACAGATCCAGGACGCAGAGAAACTGTTAAAGCGTTCAGATGATCGTGACATATTCTGGAGAATTCTTGGTACGCTTCGTAGAATTTTATAGCGCCAGAAGCCGAAGATTCAGAAGATGAGAGGCAAGAATAAGGAGCACGATCGTAAGGGTTGAAACTGCAAATGCGCTTTATCGATAAATGAAAATTTAGTATTTTTAAAGTTTTACCGTATCTGCAGAATATTCCCAAATGAGTCCATCTCAATGACTGGTTTCTCCAAACTAACACTTTGGATCTGGCTGCCAGGCGGAGACCTTCTAGATAATGATGAGCTATCTTTGTGTTGCAAAGTGTTTCAAAATGCTCCGGATGCTTATTTTTGAGAATTTGAGCACAATGAAATGAATCCACAACTACCGTATCTCCCCCAACGTTTGCTGGGGTTAGACAATGGAAAACTTGGATACCAGGAGTTTGATTAAAATATGTTCCATCTGTGTGAGGTCCGATTTCCTCATTTCCATAGGCAGTGTCTTCGTAAGCGGGCTCGTCCTGAATCAATTACTTTTACAATGATGTCCAAAGTTTTTCAATTGCTGTTCTAGGCCAGCATATAGCGGTCATTGAATCATACAATATCGTACTATTTCTCTAATGGATGTGCCGCCTGACAGTCAACTTTGAGCCAATTTATCTCGGTCCGTGTCAAAGATATGAAAAAGTTGTCAACTGATAAATTGTTCATCATGATTTCAAAATGTTTTATCAATTGACATATTTTCGATATATTGCATAGAAATTAAAATAATTTAGCTCAAACTTGACAGTGTGGGCCTCTTTAATAGTGTCTTACGGTAAGTCTTTAAAAGAATCTCACCTGCGTTGCGGAATTACTAAATACCCAGAATTGTCCGAAAAATGTGTCATGAACCGGAACTAAACTTTGACAAAGTTTTTCCGTTGCCTCAGCAGTTCCTTCAATTCCATCAATGATCACAACTCCATATTTTACCAGATTTTCGGAGAATGATTGAAGCGAGAGGTTCGATCTGGAAACATTTTTTCCAAACTTTTTTTTTTTTAATTCAGAAAAGTTACTGAATTCGAAAATCAATGTATTTGAATTTTCAAGTTTTAGAAATCGAAAGTTCTGAAATTCTAAAACCTAGAAATTCATCAAAGTTTCAAAAACTTCAAAGCTCACTTCTCGATTCTTGGAACTCCTCCCAATGTCTTTGAATCCCATAATTTCAAAACTCCATCCATTTTTTCTCCCTTTTTCTTTCTGCCTTTCCCAACAACATCTCCAATCTCAAAAACCGATCGATGTCCATCAATCCAATCAATAATCAAAGATTTCTGATTCTGATCCATTGAAATTTTATCAGATCCTTCTATTCTAGACAAATTCATGAGATCCGTACAATTCGATTTTCGCTGATTCGTCGGGTAATGATAGTGCGTTTTCGATGTACAATGGTCACGAAGCCAAGCCAATGGCATTATCAGTTTTGATGGTTTTCCTGGAGAAAAATATTGAACATATAGGGACCAAAAGCTAAAAAATCCTCACCATCCTCCTCGAAAGTTACTTCTAGAGAATCATTTTTCGATCGGATATTCTTAAAGTTCCAGCCAATAACCCGTGTGATACTAGACGATAACCTTCTTTGTACAAACATATTAATCTGAAACAGAAATTTTGAAAATGGAAGAATTTTTAGAAGGAAGTCAAAGAAGAAAATGAAAGGAAACCATTGGACTTTAGACACAAATAGACAGGAGACAGCCACGGTGTAGGAATGTTGCGTCATGGAAAAAAAGAACGATAAGAATAACGGGGTAAAGGGCATTGTTTGTTTGTCACGAGGAATGGAAAAGACAGAGAGTGTGAAAAGTGAGAGATTTAGAAGGAAAAAAATGGGGATATCTGGACAAACAGATATGAGTACAGGTCAATTCAAGTTTAAAGGTGGGGGGACATGAGAAAAATAATGTTGTCGAAATCCCGTTTAAATATGCTCCTCAAGGAGTTGAACTTGTCGAGACAAGTATTGAAGGTGCGGCGCCGCTACCGACTGAGCTACGCGTGCAAAGAGAAAGCCGCTGCCCGATTGCATACATAAAGGCGAGGGCGACATCTGTACGCAGAGTGACATTAAGCGTTGTACACCGTGACGGTAGAATGCATACTCTGGCCCCAAAAATCCCCCATAAAATCTCCTTTCCCCCCACCTTTAAAAAATAGCGTAAATGAAATAGAACGACACACTCGACTAAAACATTGAGCTCAATTATCTCAAATTCTGGAGGAGATATCAAAAATGTGTCAACTGATAAAATGTAGGCGATATCATGAAAAACGTTTTATTAGTTGACATAATTTTGATATCTATTACAGGAAAAGAGATAGTTGAGCTTGAAGGGTAAGTAGAGGGTGGCGGTTGATATAATTTTCAAGAAAATTGAAACTGACAAAAAACTTACCTTCAATGCATGTTTTTTCTGTACAACTGAATAGCTGACAAAATGTTGCTGATATTATGATAAACAATTAATCTGTTGACTACTTTTTGATATCTTTCACAAGAACCGAGATAAAGTGAGCCAAAGTTAGAGGGCTTCTATCACCGGTTTTACACGGTTTGTCCACTAAGTTTGTTGTACAGTTTTCTCAAACTTTAAAAATTTGCTTTTTTGTTCTGAAAATTCCAGATTTCAACTTTTGTATATTACTGGTTGCTTGAACTTCAATAGGGGTGTTGAAAATATTTCAGTTGATCTTTTCTTTTTTCTTAAATCAAAGTTTGAAACTAAATTGGAAGACTTGCTATTATTTTTTCGAATTTTCGAATTTTTAACTTCTTGAGTTCCAATTGAGCAAATTACATTTGGATGTTTTTTTCACAAAAATATGTCAATTTTGAAAACTTTTGCATATTTCAAAGTTATAGAAAAACTGTTCAAAAAAGGGATTTCTCGAAACCTTGTTTTTCAAAAATTGGATCATCCTTCTTCTTTTTCCTTTCATTTGAAATGCTCCTTTCTTCTATCCTTATAAAATGTTCAGCTTTCTATGGCCTAGCTTTTTCCAGGCCACCATTAAACACACTTGCCCGAGTTCAAATGACGTGAAAAGTGCAAGAAAGAGAGCTCAGAGAATGTACACTCAAGTGTAAATATAGAATGCGAGCGGACTACAATTTCGGGTTGTAGTGGGAATGTAGTTGGTTGGAGAAGAAGAAGAAAGGAAATGGATAGTCTAGTGAAAGTTTTATGGAGGAAGATAGATAAGAAAGGAGAGAGAGTGTAGGAAAAAGAGAAGGTAGAGAAAACCAGTAGAAACTTGTTTAGAGAATCATGGTGGTGATTTTGTTGATGCTACCTGCAAAAAGAGAACAAAAAATATTTTTGTAATGTTCGATTTTTTGTTTGATCTCTTACAACAACTGAATTATAACTTTTGAAAATCGTTCATTTATATTTTTTATGTTCTCTCTAAAACTTTTAAACGAAGTCCCAAACTTTTGTGGGAATTCAATTAAAAAAGATTCAGATTTCAAAGTTTTTATTTTTTCTTATGAATTCATAATCTGCCTAATCCCTTGCACTTCACATGCACCTTGTATCTAATTCTCTATCTCTTTTTCACATTAAACAAAGAGGAAATTTTTGATCTTGAGAAAAGAACAGATCGGGTTCAAAGAATGAGAGAAACACCCCAGCCAGCAGTTTGTCATCATTTTAGTGCACTAGAAACCGACCGAGACATCGGGCCTACGTGACTTTCCGAAGGATTTTTAGACCCACTCGACGTGAATTTAGTGAGAACTTCACCAAGATCATGCCCCGCCTATAGCTGCTTCTTTTTAAAATATTCAAAAAAATGATGATAATTGGTGTGACCCTAGTTGTTTTGTCATCTTCACCGATTTGATTTAATGGTTCCTTATCGCTTTGGTGAGTTTATTTTCTTTTAGGTCTTCTAAATAATTTTTGATTTAAAAACCGTTTAAAAAATATTTTCCTAATTTGCAAAAAAGCTTGCAAAATTCGAAATTCCCTCTCGAAAAAAATGGCAATGGAGCAAGCTTGCAGCGCGATATTTTTAATTAATTAAATTTTAAAATTCTTTCTTCGATTCTGCTTTGTAAATTAGTCATATTCGTAGTCCCAGACACTCAACAAAAAAACGAAAAAAAAGCACTTTGCATCCACATCTGCGTCTCTTCCCCTCTAAATTTCCTGCGCCTCAAAAACGGGCGGTCCTTCTCTTCCCCCATTTCTTTTTTTTTCTTGCATCACTTTGGTTATTTTTTTTGCACCTAAACAAATTTTTTGTATAAAATATAACGTTTTCAGAATGCTATCTTCAGTTATCAGATGCGGAGGACATCAGGCGGCGTCGTCGAAAATGACACCGGCCGTTTCGATGGCGATTCGCAGATTCGATCCGTTGGAGGCGAAAATGGCACAGAAAAAGGTAGGAAATTTGATTTTCTAGTTACTTTTATGCTAAAAATGCTTTAAAAAACACCAAAAAGCCTAAAATCTGAGATTTCAGGCTGAACTAATGGCTCAACAACAGCAAGCCGAAGGCGATCAACATCGTGTGACGTACGCAACAAAAGACGATTTCAAGCACACGGTTCAAGATTCTCGTTTCACTGGAGCCGCCGATTCAGAGACCGGACAAGTGCCGACGAAATGGCAGAAGAAGTTTCTGGTTATTACCAAGTTGTACCCATCGGTTGAGGATATTCCACCATTTGTTCAGTGGGTTTTTTCTTTTTTTTTTCTGGGAATTTTTAATCAATGATTCTAGCTTAATTCCTATTTTTCAGCCATGGCACAATGAACCGAATGCATGACAGAATGCGTGTCGTATTCATCGTCACCGCTTCCATCTTCTTCTTCTCCACATTCTACATTGCCGAACGTGCGATGGCTCAGAAAATCGCTCGTGATCGTGACGCTGGAGTCGTTGTTCATAAGATGTAAAAGTCTTTATTTTAAAAGACAGAATTTCAATTTTTACGGTTCTCAGCTCTTTGTATAAATTTTTCTTTAATTTTTCATATACTTTCTTCGTTTTTTGCTATTTGTATCCGTTCAATCGGTCCGACCATTCATGATTTTTCTTTTTCTCTTTTTTCTCTACTTGTTATCTTTTTTCTCTATTTTTAATCCAATCTTTCCAGCAAAAGCTTCAATTTATTCCTTTCAAAATGGGCATTTTCCGTACCGTTCTCATGAATGCCGCCGGTGTTCAAAAGGAGGAGCCGAAGAAGGGATCATACGAATGGAAGAAAGAGCACATGACGCCGGAGCAGCTCGCCAGAACTGCCGATAATAAGGAGAAGTATACAGGAGTGAGTACTTGAATTTGGAAGTTCTGTAAAGCTAATTTTCGAGGCAAATTATTGAAAAAATCCAAATTTCCACTAGTTTTTGCGATGGAGCGCGTTCGCAACTCTGCGTCTCTCAATTTGAGACCCCGCAAATTCGGGAGAAAAAAATTTCCGGGGAAAAAAAAACTCCGGAGAAAAGTGGGCGGAGCCTAAATTGCAACCCTGGCCGGCACGGTTTTGCCGCACG